GAGCTCAGATCCACTGAGAAACTTGCTGTTTCAACAACATTTAATTTAAAAACTGGACTTTTGAGGTTAAACTAATGTTCATAATTAATTTAAATAAATTACAAGTTAAAAGGGACATGGACATTTCTGTGTTTGTATTGAAAAAATATCAAACTGTGAGACTAAAGTATGGAACTGAACCATGGATTTCCTGTATCGCTGCAGCCCTGATACTTACTTCTGTTTGATGTTAAATATGTTTGTCAGTCAGAAAAGTAGTTTTCCTGGATTTTACAGGATTGTATCGGTTGTTTTTGTCGTTCAGACTGTCAGAATGAGGCACAGCTGGTCATGAGTCAAAGGAGCTGTTTGAAGGTACAGCTGTTCACATGCCTGACTGAAAATCTAAAGTTCACTGGATTTTGTTTTTATTCTCTAACAAATAACATTTTTAATAATTGTAATGAAAGGTTAGTTACTGAAGCGTCAGTCAACAGATGTATCAGTTTGGTTCTGACCTCCACGCTCCACACACAGCYGCTGTGGTACAGAGCAGAGTAGAGCTTCCTGACGTTCCTCAGGTCCTGGACGTCCCACACGTACACGCTGTGGTCGCTGTAGACGCAGGTCAGGTGTTTACCTCTGGGGTCAAAGGTCAGAGCCAGCGTGTCGGGATGCTGGACCCCGGGGCCGGCAGGCAGCGGGCTGAAAGGCAGCAGAGAGGGTCAGGGTGGAGTCCAGAGGACCAGGTGTGTGTGGTGTGTTACAGGTACCTGGGCTGAGCGAGGTCCACCCCGACGAGGTGAGGCCGCTGCAGAGTGACCACATACTGCAGGTCAGAGGGCCGGAAGACCCTGACCAGACCGTCTGAGCAGCCACAGAAGATGGAGTCCTCACTGAGGGCCAGGCATCTGGCTGCAGACACCTGTCAACAACAACAACCTGTCAACAACAACAACAACAACAACAGGTCAACAACAACAACCTGTCAACAACAACAACCTGTCAACAACAACAACCTGTCAACAACAACAACCTGTCAACAACAACAACAGGTCAACAACAACAACCTGTCAACAACAACAACAGGTCAACAACAACAACCTGTCAACAACAACAACAACAACCTGTCAACAACAACAACCTGTCAACAACAACAACCTGTCAACAACAACAACCTGTCAACAACAACAACAGGTCAACAACAACAACC